ATCCACCTGAAGCAACAATTACACACATCGGGGAGAATTTGTTTCTAAGGCAGTGGTTTTCACCACGACACGGTTTCGATTGTTCATTTATTTCAATAATATTTTATTGATCATGTCAGTGCTAGCTCCTCGTTTTACAGTCTACATTTCAAACACATAAAAGAGAAACAAGTATGGGGAGAGGGGACCTCCTGTCTGAGTCCCCTCTCTGGGGTGAATGAATTTAAGAGTTGGTTGTTAATCCTGACTTGAACACATATTCAAGCAGCTACGTTTATAAGATGTGTGTGTGTTATTAATAACTAAGAAATATTTTAAATACATATCACCTTATAATCACCTTAAACTAATGAAAAAATTCGATTAATTAAATAATGTCGGGAAAGTCCATCCACGTAATTTATAAGAATAATACACATTAAAAATTAATTATCTTAATAGAAGTCAAAAACTTATTTAGAGAAATTACACTCTTTCCGGACACGTAGGACGATGTAAAATTAAGGTGGCGTTTGGTTCGCTGGAATGTTTATGAGGGAATTAGAATCTGTGAAGGAATTGGAATCTGTCAGGGATTGGAATCTAATTCCATATTTTGTTTGGTTGGCAGAAAATGGAATTGGAATCCAATTTCATATTCTGTTTGGTTCGCAGACATGTCAGATGAATTTCATTTCAGTAATGTAAAATAACATAATTGTCCTTCTTGTTTTTTTTTTTTTGCTTTATTTTAGTTTGTTTTACAACTTACATGTAGTAATATATTATAAAAAATTAAAAAATATTAAATTTTCATTTTATTGATTGATTATTCATTTCAATAAATTATAAAATCATGCTAATAAACATCATAAGTTAAAATCATCGCAATCAAAATATGTTAATAAGTTACTAAAAGACAGAGCAATATTTCGATACATTTCAATCGGAGTATGTTAATTAGTTACCAAAAAATATACCAAAAACTATTTTTATTCAATATATGAATTAGAAACCCAACCCGACACGACACAAAATAATAAAAAAATTATTTTTATTCAATAAAAACATTGACTTAATTGAAAAAAATTATATATAGAGGGGTGTTATTGTAATTATTCCTAAATATATAAGGTAAAATTATATATATATTTTGGGTCGGTCCATTTTTTTCACCCTAAACCCGAACCCGGCCCGACTCGACCCGAATATCACACTTAAAAAATCCGATCCGAACAAAATAAAGTTTCACCCCGACCCGACCCCGATATATGAATTAGAAATCCGACCCGACCCGACCCGAAATAATAAAAAAATATTTTTATTTAATAAAACAGACTTAATTGAAAAAATATATATATAGAGGGGTATTATTGTAATTATTCCTAAATATATAAGGTAAAATTATATATATATTTTCAGGTCGGGTATTTTTCACCCTAAACCCGAACTCAACCCGACCCGAATATATGAATTAGAAACCCGACCCGACCCGAAATAATAAAAAAATATTTTTATTCAATATATGAATAAGTTACCAAAAGATTGATGAGGGTAGTATGGTCAATTTCGATTCCCTCTAACAAGGAATTTGAATTTCATCCATTCTTGGATGGAATTCACTTTCCCTCATTTGATGGAAAGTTGAAGCCATGAGGGATTCCAATTCCTTTGGAAAACTTGAACCAAACATGAGAAAGTGATAGAATTGGATTCCAATTCCCCCCAATTCCAAGAGATTTCATCCAACCAAACGTCACCTAACTGTGCCTTACCAAAGGCATTCTCAGTTGAACTCGTCTTTGCCTTATGTTGCAAAGTGTGTCGGAGATCTCGATTTTAATTGTCCGAAGAGGGAAGACTCAGATTGCAGTTCACGCCTTCGACTGAAAATAATAAAATTTAATGATATAATTGATTTTTTTGCTACTTTAACTACTTTATATTATTTTCATTAATAACATTAAAATTGTTGAGATAGATTTTTTTGAACCTAATTTTCTTTTAATATTTTTGTGTCATCTTCTTCATATTCTTTATTTTTGTTTAGCTGGTGGCAGTACTAATCTTATTGTTGGTTGTCGACTGTCGGTGACTATTAGTTCTTTTTTTTATATTATGTCTTTTATCTTTTTTGCTCAAGTCTTTTTAATTTTGAATAAGATTCTATGTTCTTGTGACATGATTTATCTCTACTCTTGTGGCTCCCGTTTTCTCTGCTCTTGTGTCACGATTCTCGTGATTGTTGGTATGTTTTTCGCATACTTATTCGATTTTTTTGGTTATCGCACAAAAATCATCACGACATTTATATTCTGATTGGTTAGCGGTGGTCACGTATAGCCAGATCCTTTTTTTGGTAAAAGGTTATTTGCCGATGTCATCAGATTGTGTAATGAAACAGTCTACTGGATTATTTGGTTCGCTCTCCACTCCTTTATCCTTTCGTTCAAGCGTTTCTATACTTTTATACGATATGATTTTGATTACTTCCGTTTTTTAATAAAATCCAATAGAGAGGCATCGTTAATCAGAAAGTTCCCCAGCTGTTTACCAAAATGAATTTGTTTTCCTTAACAAATCTGGAGATCTACCATCTCTGCGAATGTGAATGCACTTTCAGTTATAATGCATAAAGTAGCAAATCTCATCACATTTAGTCATGACGAATTTCTAAGATCAATATGAATCAGAAAGTTCCCGAACCGAAAACATAACGCAACCGAAAACACGATCATACCTATTATTTAAATTCCTGAATAATATAGTCCCCGTGAGATATGAATACAATGGTTGAAAAGCTTGTGTTAATCAGGTCCTTGTAGCACAAGAACAGCTTAGGTACAATGGAAGGGGTAAAGGTGAAAGGACAGGTGATTTCAAGTTCACCATTTTCACTTTCGCTGGCAGTTGAGACGAGCATTCACGGCGATTGACATTTCCAATCAAATGTACAATTTATTCAATGCTCTTGGTCCCTTAAAACACCACTAATCGCTCCTCGAAAACGACAGGTGACACAAGAAACCCTATTTGCCTTCCAGCATTTTACCATCGAAAAAATCTTGTTGGATTTCATTAACATGTATGCCGACTTAAAATTTAATGACTGGAATACCGACATTTAAATAGCGGTCCGTTATTAGAATAGTCGTTGCTACGTAACGATAAAGATGTTTAAAGTTATTATTGTATAACTACGATAGTTACTATGACTGTTACAATTGTAATGAATAAGACACGACCGAAAACGCGATCGTAATCGTGCTTTATATATAGAATTGAAAGCTGGAAATCCAACTCAGAAGATTCGTTTCCATTTGGCAGTGGTTTCAGAGCATGAGAAGTCTCGATCCTTTTCTTCTCCCACTTCTGGTCTTGGCAATTATGTTGACAACAACCCATCTTTGTAGTTGTCGGCGACTGATCGGCTGGGCTTCCGACCGGGAAACACACCATTCTTCCGACAAGAGAGAGTACACGCCGGCTCACGATGTCTCACATCAAGTCGTCCCCGGTGGACCGAATCCACTGCACAACTGATCATCCCCATTTTCCTGATTATGTTGTTTCATGTGCAAAAGCTTCTTCTTCTTTTTTAGGAATGTACGTGGTTCTTGAAAAGAAAGAATGGGAACAGCCTCTTTCTTTTCTGGAACCAGGAATGGACCGATGGGGTGCTGCGGGTGTGGTCGCACCTCGTATTTTAGATATTTTCTTTATATTTTATATGAATTATTTAATTTCGTACCCTGATAATTTATAATCCCGCACCCTTAAGATTTTAATGCACCCTAACACAAATTCTTACGTTTGTTCGTGGCCGGAACCAAATATGATCTTCTCAATTATTTTCTCTCGTGTGGTGTTGACAAGCATGTTTAAGTGTTGGTTAAATGCAAATAATCAGGCATAGGGTAGTTAAATGATTGGATTATGAAATGGTAAGATTGCTTTTGTGGTTGGGTGTACATACAATTATTTGTTCCAATGCATTATCAATAACCGACACAAAATTACGAATAATCGGTCGTTTTAGTAGGATGAGCCACTAGATTCTTTAAGTAAGATCATGGTTTCAAACTCTGGATTGGGAAGTCGCCCCCGTAATGGGCTTCTGCAAAACCCGGTCTGCATTAGTGATCAATAGATCGAATACCAATGATTAATTCAAAAAAGAAATAACCTACACTAAATTCTTTAAACAAGAATCGAGATTCAAAAACTGGTAATTATGAACGGAGGAAATTAGATTATAATAATTGTATTGTAATGAATTTTTATAAATTTCGATATGCATTAATTAATAAATAAACTGAATATCAATAATTAATTCAAAAAATAATAGTTTATTTTGCCAGTATTTTAGATAATTATTAATACTTAAATTTAATTATTTTATATCCGAATAAATTTTAAAATTATATATAATTTTTTAAAATGTTGATTTGATATATGAATTTTGATTTTGATTATGGATTTATACCCTAGTAATTATATTAATAAATATAATTTTAATGTGATGTTTTTTCACAAGTTTTATCAAGATTATCAAATATAGAATCATTTTAGTATATGATACCATATAATTATATTAATTTAATATATGAAACAGATGTATTTATTTAATGTTTCATGTAAATAATTTAATAAAAAAATTATGTGTAAAATTATAATAAATCAAAAATTATGAATCACAATACACATTAAATCAAAATTTATGCATACATTTAATATTTATCCTTTTTATACCAAATTTCAAACATATAACGAGTACAGGGACTGCGAGAAGAATTAGACCTATGCTTGAAGTTCATTTGAGGCTGTGTTCATACTGCTTCCGAATTGAACTCAACCGGTAGTTAATTGCAATTTGCAAATGGACAGAATTGAGATTCATTCATTCGATGAATTGGATTTGTTATTTGTACATTGATTCCGATTTCAGGTATAGTATGCTTCCGTTTCATTCCGTTGCTTAATTCATTATAAGCTTTGATGAGTGATTGTTATAATGTTTAAAATGGATCAGGTTTATTCGAAGCTTGCTTATGGCACCAAGGAGTTTTCCGGATGAAGTGATTCTTTTTCTTCTGCGAGGAGATGGATTAAGCGGTTAACTTGTTCAGATTTGAATTCTCTTTTTTGTTTTTCTTGATATCATGTAATATGAAGTTATGCTATATTTGGTGCATTTTCTTGCATTGCTAAACATGCTCAATGTCTTCGGCTCCAGTTGTTCATCTTTAGTTTGCCTGTTTAGGGTTCATCTTAGCAGTTCTGGGTTTCGCTTTATTTTGTTTATTGATCATGCAGATTCTTCATTTTTAAAGAGAGGATGGATTGTCTGATTACTTAGTATCGTATTAATTAATGGGTTTGATTACTTAGTATCGTATTAGTTGAGCCTAATAGCTTATTGCCCCAGGAAAAAGGGGTAGAGAATCTGCACATTTTAGTGGTGTATCTGTTGTGCCAAGTTACAATGCATAATGCAGATGTGACCCTTTAATGAGGAAGGATATGGTAAATTTTGAATATTATATTAGTGTTTACTCTTGTAACTGCTTTGATTAAGCTATGGCTGGAGTTCCAGTTTCTAGACTCAACTGGTCAAGTATCAACTGTTTTTGTACTAAATTCGCATTTTGCGTCATACTCGTTCGTTTTCCTGCTTCCACTTTCATTTTAATACAGTTTTCTCGATATAGTTCCCAGTCGTGCTTTGTATCTAAGAATTCTTTTTTGGGTCTTTCAATGATTGTATCAATGATGCTTTGGATGCAAAGGAATCATATTCTGCTTTGAAGGATGCAGCTTCGCCTAGTAGAAAAACGGCTGGGTGCTCAGGTGGCTGGACATTATCTGCCAATGAAGCTGTTGCTATAGATCACGAAGAAGGTTTCCTTATGTTGCTTTTATGTTTTCTTTTTTTCTTCTTAGAATATTGAGAAATGTTTTACTTTCCCTTAAGTTGGTTAGTATCTTTTAAGTGATTTAAAATCTCAGTCAGTAATATGAGGTTCTCTCTAGCAGGCAGCCTTTTGATGGGTACAGCACTTGTTTTTCCTAGTGAAATTTATCTTCACAAGAATTCTTTTTCTTCTTTTGGGAGGAAAGGTGGGAGGTTGATTGTTGAAATCTTCATGCCAAATAGAGCCTTATAGCTCGGAACTTTCCGTTGTTTTCTTGTGCCATTTTCTCTCGTCTTGAATCATCTGTTTGTATGATTCTCATGGTAAACAATCTCTGTTACTTCTTTCACGTTTTGAGAAAGTAAACAGAAATAAATGACATGTCTACGTTACATAGGTCCAAAGGAACGAAGATATCCATTATCCTTATTTATCTTATATATTTTAGGTCATCGCTAGTTTACAGTTTATTATCTCGTCTCTATCTTTGGTTGATGGTTGTGGACTCCATTCCACTTTCATCAAATTCTTAAACAGATCGGAGTGGTAAGAGTTTTCAGGAGCAACGAAAAGCACACTATGATGAGTATTTCAAGATAAGGAACTGAGACGTAAATGTTCGTTCCTTGAGGAAGAAGATGATGGTGTGGAGGGTGATTCATCTTCATCTAAGATGTCGGCAAAGCACAATTCGCCCTGAATATCTTCTGCAGGGCCAGCTAATGGATGGAAGAAGTCTACCGACCGGTCCGAGGCCTAAACCCGACACTTTTGACACCCATTGTGGTATTATAGAAGCGAAACTAAAAGAAAAGAAAAATCTGGATTTTTTTTCATGTTTGAGTTTACTTGTGCATAATTTCGCCCAACTTGGCATGTTATTGAGAAGTGTAGCGGCCCCCAACTTTTGTTCTTTGGCAAATAAGCAAAATGGCAAGATTTTGATATAATGGAGACATGTCCAATCTCTTTCTATGCATAAGATCATGCAAGAAAATGGGAAAAGGGGTAATTGATTTAAGGTTATTTTTTTCTTCATATAATTAGATTAGAAACTGAATCTTACAACGTAGCCATACATATTCTAACTTGTTTGTAAGAAAAAGAAAAAAAGAACTTTACAATATTATTACTGATGGAAGCAGAAAGAGAGTTAACCTTCATTGATCCCCTCCAGGAGCTTCAGCACATGAAGCATTGTTGGTCTATTGGCAGGATTTTGAGACAGGCAAACTTGAGCAATACTCAGCAACTTCAGCATCATCTTCTTCGAATCTACATTCAACACCATTGCATCTAAAACATCAGCAGCCTGTCCCGTTCTCGTCTTCTTCGACACCCACCCCTCCAAGTTCCCTCCTTCAATCTCCTTAAAATCAGGCCCTGTTGGTTCTTTTCCGGTCACCAGTTCCAGTAGAATTACACCGAAACTATAGACATCTCCCTTTGCACTGCACCTACCGCTCTGTCCGTATTCCGGTGGGATGTAACCCAAAGTACCAGCGATGTCCGTGCTAACATGAGTTTCGCATGCACTGATAAGCCTTGCCAGCCCAAAGTCAGCAACTTTAGGTTCAAAGTCTTCACTCAGTAAGATATTTGCTGGCTTTGATGTCCCTGTGGATGATATGAGGGATGAAACCGTGGTGAAGAAAAGCCAGCCCTCGAGCAGCCCCCACCGCGATTTTGAAGCATTTTGGCCAATCAAGGATTTCGAGAGGCCCGGTGCGGTTTCTCAACCAAAGATCCAAACTCCCATTGATCATGTATTCATACACAAGGAGCTTCTCCTCCCCCAAAGAACAGTATCCAAGCAATGAGACAAGGTTTTGGTGCTTCACCTTACCCAAGGTTTCCATTTCAGCTATGAATTCTCGATTGCCCTGTGTTTTCGCCTGGCTTAGCTTCTTGACCGCAACGGTCTTCCCACTAGGCAACTTGGCTTTGTAAACCATTCCAAACCCTCCATCTCCTATTATATTTGTCTTACAGAAGTGATTGGTGCCCTCAACAATGTCACCTAAGGTGAGTTTCAGGAGTGGCTGCTCGAACATCGCTACATTTATGCTCGGAGGCTCCTTCGATCTGCTGCTACCCAAGAAATAGAGCTCCTGATCAATAAAGGTCTTCAGTTTAGTTTCCTCAGCTTCTTCCGGATCATTTTGCCGACTATGACTCGTAATCCATCTCCGTAGAACAAAGGCCAATGTAAATATGATGAAGACAGTTGCAGCTGCGATCGCAGCGAGGCCCCAAGCATTTAACAAAGAGGACCTCTCGAAACTTGTGATCCGGCACTCTAAACCCATGATTCTGCCGCACAGATCGTTGTTCCCTGCAAGTAAAATCCTTGACAGGTTTTGGCAAATACCATTTCGAGGTACAGGACCTTCCAACCAGTTTTCTGCCAGATTCAAGTAAAATAGATTGAACAGCTCGCATATTTTCTCGGGAATCTGTCCTGATAAACGATTTCCCGATACATCGAAATATTCTAGTTGCATCAAGTTACCAACTTCTGAAGGAATCTCACCAGTGAACATATTCCCATGAAGATCTAAGTATGTCACATATGACAAATTGCCCAAAGACTGTGGCAAGTGTCCACTGATAGCGTTGTTACTCAAATTCATGTCTTCGACCTTCCATGACAGGGAATTCGAGAACAGATCAGTTACCCCACCGGAGAGCCTATTCTGCTGAACATATAACCCCACCAGGTTAATCATCTCCGACAATGAAGAAGGTAGCTCACCAGTAAGATCATTTCGACTTAAATCCAAGTGAGTAAGCTCTTTCAAGTTCCCAAAACTAGCAGGAATAACCCCTGATAACTTATTTCCAGTCAAGTTTAGCTTCACCAAACTACCAACACGACCTAAGCTTACGGGGATGGCACCAGTAAGCTCGTTGTTCCCCAAATACAAACCCTGAAGCTTGAGAGAGTCACCAAATTCAACAGGAATCGAACCTGTTAGATAATTTCCAGATAAATCCAAAGTGGTAAGATTTGTCAATCGAGAAAGTGATCCTGGAATCTCGCCAGTGAGCATATTGTTGTTGAGAAGAAGATCCACCACCACCACACAGTTTCCCAGTTCTTTAGGTATTGGACCAGTCAATCTATTGTTCGACAAATCGAATACTCCATGGTGCTGAACAAAGCTTAAATCAGGCATATTAACCTGACTGAAAAACGATGATGGTTTCGAAGGGATTGAACCTGATAGATTATTGTGAGAAAGAACCAGGCATTGCAGCAGTTGCAAATCTGCAAGTTCCACCGGGATTGATCCACTCAAACTGTTGTTTCCCAGATCCAATGTTGTCAATCCTTTGCAGTCTCCAATTTCAACTGGCACATGTCCTTGTAAGAAATTCGAGTTCAAGTTAAGCACAGAAAGAGCTGTGAGATTAGCAATCTCCTTAGGTATACCGCCCATCATGCGATTATGATCAAGAACAAGGGTCTGCAATGTAACAGCATTACCAATTTCAACTGGCAAAGAACCTTCAAGCATATTATTTCCAGCAGAAAACTCCATCAAAGTTTTCGAACTCCATAAACTCACAGGTATCCCACCAGTGAAATTGTTGGAGTCAAGGTCAATAACCATCAACGGAAGCTCCGAAAGATACTCAGGCACCGAACCATAGATGTGATTGTTAAACAAAACCAACTGAGTGAGATTTCGACATTTCACAAACTCGTTTTCGATTGTACTCGAAAGGTTATTGCCATCAAGATTAATCTCCGAAAGCAATTCCGCATTGCATAACTCACTCGGTATCGCGCCAAACAAGTTGTTATTACTCAAACTAAGGTGCTTCAGCATCGAACAATTCCCAATCTCCGGTGGGATATTACCCGAAAATCGGTTGCTTGAAAGAAGCAAGGACTCAACTTTGTTCCATCTCCCAAGCCAAGGGGGCAATGGCCCAGACAACTGATTCATTTCAGCTGAAAACGTCAACATAGGCAAGTTTGAAAGCTTTTCAGGCAAAGACCCTGAAATAGAATTAAAAGACAGCATCAACATTACCAACTTCTGGCAATCTCCAAGCTCTACTGGTAAAGAACCATTGATCTTAGAGTAAACAAGGATCAATATACTCAAATTCTTTAACTTTCCTATAGACTTTGGGATGGAACATTTCAATGGGTTAAATGAAAGGTCAAGGTTGGAAAGCAGCTTTAGACTGAATAGTTCATCAGGTAAAGGCCCTCTTATGGAACAGGAGGGTGCAAAGAAGTTCTGAAGCAGTGAAAGGTTACCTATTTGAGGTGGCAACTGCCCTGTGAATTGATTACTGCCAATGTAAAGAGCGGTCAGGTTTTTAAGGCCACCAATTTCTGGTGGGATTTCGCCAGAAAATGAATTGTTGGAAATGTCTAGAGAGGTTAAAGATTGAAGCTTTTTGAAAAGAGTTGAAGGGAGAGAACCTGAAAGGAAATTGTTGGCTAGGTCCAAGAACTCTAACCGAGTCAACTGCCCGAGCTGAGCCGGCACTGTTCCGCTGAGTGCATTGGTCGAAAGTTCAATGGTGCGAAGAGCTTTCAGGTTGCTGATCTCCGGAGGGATTTTTCCGGTGAGAAAATTGGACCCGAGTTTGAGAGTCTCCAGCATAGTCAACTCAGCCAACTCAGCCGGTATTCTGCCGAACAGAAAGTTGGAGGACAAGTCCAGAAGGGTGAGAGACGAAAGGGAGGAAAGGGACGGAGAGAGTGGACCTTTCAAAGACCGAGTTGCAAGTGCAAGAACGGTGACTCGACCGAGTTGGCACACGACACCATCCCATTCGCAGTGATGGACTTTCCGGTTCCATGAAGAAAGGAGACGAGGGTTCTGAAGCCCGGCTTTGAAAGAAACAAGAGCTTCCCTTTCTGGGTTTCGCTCCTCTCGAGTTCTAATGGCGCCCGATGACGACAACAACAACAACAAACGGAGAAGAAAACAGAGGAAGTGAAACGAAAGCTTAAACGCCATGGCCAAAGAAGTGAACTTTACAGGGTGAAATGAACAAAGAGTGATGAAGACATGAATGATCAAAGTGGTGAAGAAAAAGAGAGGGATATAAATAAAACAGAGGAAAAGATTGAAGCTTGAAGAAGAGACATGGCAGGGCGGGACTGTGGCCAACGTAGCTCACGTGAGTTGAGCTTTTGTAAATCCTATTCTCAATCTTTTTCTTCTTTTTGGGGTTTCAAGCAAATCCTTGGCTATTTTCTGAAAATGAATCTAAGGGTAAATTACATATTTAATATTTAACTATCATTTTTGTTTTATTTTAGTCATCTTTGGCTTTTAATTGAACTGTTGACTTGATATTTTAAAAAAATTCAATAATGATGTGACATTTTTATAAACACATGTTAGTATCATACTTATTTTTTAATGAGCAGATGATTAAAATCAAATCAAATCTAAAAATTAAGTATAAATTTGAAAAAAATTAGGTGGTCAAAACAAAATAAAAGTGGTAGGTGGGGCACTAAATGTGTAGTTTTTCCATAATATAAATGGAAAAGTACATTTTTTTTTGTTAGGAATGATTAATATTGGAACCAAAATCTTGTTATTATTAAATTTAATAGAATAAAGGGTATCCCTAGTAAATTTAGGAGACGGTGGTGTTAATGTGGTAAATGAATGGCATTTGTTATTGAATTATGTTAGTAGGTGAATATTTCTTAATAATATGAGTTTTATTTGTATTTAATTTAAAATAAGCTTTGAAATTATATTATTTTTTATTTATATATTTATTTTTATTAAAATAAATATTTTAACATTTTATTTTATAATTATTTTAGGTCGATCGTAAAAAATAATAAATGTTTTACACGTAGTTTATGATCATCTTCTTTCCTTTTTTCCTTTCAACTTTTTAACATAAAGAAACCAATCTTAAATAAT